CGTCGTCAAGGCACTGCGGCTCGTTGTCGCTATTCTTAACTAGATCACTCTCCTCGATCTCCTTGTTCAGCGTCTTGGAAAGAGACTCGATGATCTTTGCGGTCATCTTCTTCCTCCCTGTAACCTCAACAACATCGCTGATCATCTCAAGTGTGATACCTTCAGGGCCGACTCCCCTTTGTTTTGCAATTTCAAGGAGTTGATGCACGACATCATCCACGACAGCTTTGATATGCTTGGAACCGGGCTGCGCTGCCAAAACCGCATTGGTTAGGACCTTTTTACCGCCATGGTCGGCATCGGGTTCGAGCCCGACAACTAGACCGGTCTTGATGGTGCTGTTCGTGCTGGATATCTCTCCTGGCAGCCAGTTGCTTACCGGCTGCTCACATGTAGTATCCAGATCAGCCCAGATGCCGCCTTCAGCCAACAAAATAAGATAACGTAGCAGATCAGCTCGGAGGATGGGAATCTTAAGCCTGGTGTAAAGAGCTAAGATATCCGAGCCAGGGTAACGGCTGCGCACATAGTCATCACTCGACTCGTCGGTGAGCAACTCATGGCGGAAAGTAGGGTTCTTCACTATCCATGTATTGCTCATGTCGGTGTACTCACTGCTAAGGTTCGCATGTTTGGCTGTTTGCCAAATCTTGCTAGGAATCCGAGGGATTGCTTCGTTGACATGTCCAGGGTGTGACGACGGTGTCGTTACTGCTGCGGTTTTTGTTGGCTCGCCTGCTGGCGTGCCGGGAGGTTTTGTCCTAGGTGCATCCGTCGAGGAAGATTCTAGCGTCGGTACGACTGGTGGTGGGTGCGAGATCAACGATGGAGGCTCTTGATCAGGAGCAGGCACGGGCGGCTGGAAGGGTTTATGCTGATCATCTGGGCGATCACGTATTGGTGTGTGGGCAGGCGCAGGGCCAAACTGTCGAGCCGAGTAGATGAGTATGATGCTGATAATGGATGCTACAACGAGCGCTCGCAACACTCGCTGCCATGCAGTCGACATTTTTCCCTTGTGCCTTTTCGCTCAGGGGCTGCTAATCCAACCAGTAAAAAAAAGTCACGCCTGAACGAGACTCATCCACGGCCCTTCAGTTTCACAGTGACTGGGACGGAAGAGAGCCAAGGAGTAATTTAGCTCGAAGTTATAACTGACGAGAGCTTCCCATTCTAAGAATGTATGGGTAGATGCCGGAGATTTCAAAAGGACAGCTCCACACCAACAGCCACCGGCGCACCAGGCAGCAAGCAGGGCGGCAAAAGGAGGCTCCAGGCCAACGCTTAATACAGCCTCTCTCTATGGAAGAGATAAGGCCCGTCTTTCCTGTCAATTAGTTATACGGATCTTGCGTCCTCCGTAGCCTGCCAGGGGTGGACTTCTATTTTCCGAGCCGGTCTGGTAGGTAGGTACCAGTCTATGGGAAATACACCTTCTTTCCATCGTTCACAAGTAAGAGCCATACCATGCACAAGCCATCATTAATTGTTAGCAGATCCTGACGGAGTACTCCGTAGCATGTCTTTCCAACTCTTAAAATAGAAACATCTTTTGGCCAATGGTGGCTCACTATGCGAATACACGTGACTATAACAAGCGCCCGGTGGGCCTTTAACCATCAGGGGTGAGATTCCACCATTTTGAATTAGATGGAGGGTGCAAAAATTTGCAAGTTGGTATGAGGGCCAGTATTTGTGGTGGTGATGGCTGGGCAAGCAGTTAACGAGGTCGATTAGGAATATGCTAAGCTAACGATTGGAATATCAAACCTCGCTCCGCCTTCTAGGAGTTTCACTTCTACAGTGATCAATAAGTCAAGCCAGACGTTGTTCTTTTAATTTTGTGAATGGTAAAGGATGGATGTGTTTGGTAGTATTCAATACTGTCGTTGAACGGACCTAGTAACCCTACGGAGTACGTCGGCCATATAAAAGTTAGGTAGGGTTCGCGTCTAGTATGATTTTCTTGAACATTTCACGTGATGCGATTTTTATTATATAATCACAAAAATATTTCTAATTGGCTGGAAATTTCAAGACGTCAAGATAAAAAAGATCTGTAGAGAATCTCCGACGAACAATCAGTACCTAGAGTACTCCGTACACTCCTCACCATAGCTGAGACAACCATGGCTCAAGGTGCAATCAAGAAGTCCAAGCCTGCCCCGGCTAAGAAGTGAGTTATGTCGCATGACCTTGGTATATTCTCACTCCCCCACTAACCCTTCCAACCAGGCCAACAACCCTAGGCCCAAAACGAGGCGCAAAGACCATTGCACCAAAAAAAGCGAAACTCATAAAACAACAAAAAATGGTCAAGGTAGATTGAAACCTTCCATCTTGGATTTTGGACCGGTATCAAAGCTGACACGTGCTGCTCTACTAAAATAGAAATTAACGTCCGGCCTGACTGGGAAGACCGAGCGATTGCTTGCTGAGAAGGCGGGACATCTGGAGTTATTAAAGGGAACCAGAAAGGATAAGAAGGGAGACAATAAGCAGGCCTCAAAGAAGTGAAATACAGTCCTATAGGCTTGAGGGCTTAATTGCTTTGAAGTTTCAAGATTCGACGCTTAACCGGAATGTGCACCATAGAAGACAGTCTGCCGTGCCGTGAGATACCAGCAAGCTTCGGGATGAAACGTGGACGGCTCCGAAGGAGGGGAGCAAATTACCTTACGCCATTGATGAACGTGTGGTAAATTGTCATACCAGCATACTGTATGGTGTTGGAAGTGCGGACACGCCATGACGGGGTCGAACTGTGGTGTGGCTGCCAACAATAATATATCAGAAAGTGTCCGTTACCTATGAGGGCCACAAAGGAGTAGGGCAGATGGTGTTCGTATTGGCTACCGCCTGTATAATCTACTCAGCGCGGAAAACAAAATATACATTGTATTGTCATTATGGAATTATCAATGACGTCAATAAGATATCGACAGGCATAAATAACACTCCGAAAAACATAGACGGATAGGAGTATACAAAAAAAAATAATAATAAAATAAACAAACGCCAACTAGATAATGGGTGGTTAGGTGGGGGAAAAGGGGGCTCTCTCTTCTAGATAGCCCTTGCAGCCTCCCCAGCTCCGCTGTCAACAACTGTAGCCTGCTCAGCTTTCATCTTTCCCTTGTTGATGCCGCCGACACCAACGCCCATTCTCCTGGCCACATAGCGCTGTGCAACAACACCTACGGCCAAAGTGATTGCGTCTTCAACCCATTCGGCCACCCACTCACGTGGATCGACTCCTCCGCTCTCAATTATCTCAGCGATGGCTTCGGGAACAGTCGATTGCATTTCTTGAGAGGCAGAGCTTTGGTCTGTGGAAGAGGGGTCAGGGGCAGGAGCGTCAAGCCAGTCGATCCATTTTTGTGGAAGTGATTGGGAGATTGTGTGGAAGGCAATGCCGTGGATGGGATCATGCAGGTACACGGCGAAGGACACTTCTTCCTCAGCTTCTTGTTCAGCCTCTACAACGCCGCTGGCTGGCTTGTCAGTTTCTCCGCTGGGTCCAGCCCCGGCCTGGAAGAGGTCCTCTGGTACGGGCTGGCTGATAGCTTGGATGGCGAGAAAGATATCACTGTTCCTGACGGGGTTGGTGTCGGATAGAATTTCGGAAGCTTGACGGGTAGCTTCTTCTATGCCGCCGCGAGCTGCGAAAAAGTCATTTGCGTAAGATTCTGCACTAGCTCGCACAAGCTTGCTGGCCACCATGGTACCCTTGATAGCAGAGATCGAACGGCCTCCTCCTGGAGAGGCATAGCGCCACCATGGCCCATCATTCCAGCCTGCTGAACTATATTGACTGGTACCCGCGCCCTCTCCACGCTTTGGTGCCGCTTCCTGGCCACGTTGGATGACGAGTAAGTCACCTCCCTCGACCTGGGCCATGACTCGGGAAAATACATTGTATATGAGAGGATCTAGAGCAGGATATCCTTGGAGATCATGCGTGATATGGATTTGGAGACGTTCATGAGTTGATATTGGAGGTGCCAGAGTGTGGAGAAGGGATGTGACCGTTGGAAGGGCGAGTGTGCGTAGCTCTCCTCCTACATTATGTGGGTTAGCAGGTAAATCATCCAGGCCATTCCTGTGGTACAAATATAGTAACTCACCGAGTCCCCTAAGAGCACCAACATTACCACGGACCTGGTCTGCCCATTTCTGAGCTTCTTCGTTTTTCCGGATCTCCTGCACTGCTGCCTCAGCTTGCTTGACGGCCGCGGTAGCTGTAGCAAAGAGGCCACCCCACCATCCACCTCCGCCGCCGCTACTGCTACTGATCTGCGGCTGTGGTGCCGGGCTCGGTGGTGTATTCTGTGTCTCTGACAAGGGCGTGATGCTCCTATGGTATGCTCTTGTGCTATCTCCTGACTTTCTGGTCTGTAACTTCTCCTCGCTGGACCGGTCAGTGGTGGGCGTAGCGGTAGCCGCCGCCGGTTTCGGCGACTTGGTCGAGGTCGATGAGATCTGGGGCGTTGCAGGGCGACTCGCGGGCCTCTGGGAGACTAGATTCTGGAATTCATCAAGCACGTCGTCCTCAACGGCTCCTTGTTTGCCTGGCTGTGGTGGTTTGGCGCTGACAGCATCGACGCTCAGGTCGTCGAACTGAGCCAGCAGCTCGTCGGTCGTTGGTGTGTGCTTTCCGTCTTTCGTCGTCATCGTTGCTTGTTCCGTCACAGACGGTGCCTGTAGCTTCACTGCATACGTTGTCGCAGCTTCGATAGTTGCCCGTCTCGCTGTATGTCAGGCCGTCGTGCGGTTGGTCGCTGGCTTGAGCTTGGGAGGATCCTCGCCTCTTGGCACCCAGACGTCACCACGACAGGCCATTATTTACGAAGTAGAGATGCACGCCAGACATTAACACAACTACTGTATGCGCTGTATTCTATCATACTGATTTCACTCCATGATTTACGGGTTCAAAGAAAAGAAAGAAAGAAATATAAAAAGAAAAAGAAAAAGAAAAAAAAAGGAAAAAAATAGAGCGACACCGCAGGGATTCGAACCCTGGCTCCCGAAGGAATTGCATGGCTATGTATGCAGAGAAACTGTATAACGGTAGCAGTGCAACGTATTAACCACTCTACCACAGTGCCTCGGTGTGATGCTGATGGGCCCGCTCAGCTCTCCATAACCACCAGCACTACCGGGCCAGCGCCTCGCAGCAAGTTGCATCATATTGCAAACTTACAGGAGCGATTCTACATATATAAGGGGCAAACCTCGCACTTTCTGCTCGCCTCTCTTGACTAATTCTCCTAGTTATAGCTTACGTCCTCACCCACTCACTGCTTGCGCTGCATATTACCACTGTCTTCGTTCAAGATGGCGTCGCAATGGACAGAAGGGGTGATCTTTTTCTCGCTATTCTTCGGGCCCATATTTGTCGGAGCGTGTTTGATTGTCTGCCGATTGTCTATTTTGACGCTTGGGCCAATCCTCGAAATATTATTTGAGGCCATGGGTGCGCCGTGGGCTGCGGATATAGTCAGGGAGGCTAACGATGGAATTGCCCGCCGGAGAGTCCCCCAACCACCAGTGCAGAAAAAAGTGCAGGATGACTGCAATCGCAGGCTGGACAATGTAGTCCATGACATAAAAGCCCTCAGGCAGAGAGACATCCTTCTGAGAACAATGATCCTGGATACTGTCGTGATAGGGAAAGTCAAAGATATTGAAACATTTGATGCTATCGGTCCTACGGACTGGAGGTTAAAGCTAGTGGATTCGAAACAGAGGCTCGGAACTTGGGAGCAGTACTATTCGTACCTACTTAGGCAGCAGCCGCTCATGTCGAGGGTGAGACGGGAGGTCAAATCTTGGCTTTTTCCAGATGGAAAGGGACGAGAAAAGCGTCAGTGTAAAGCCACACAGGGATGCTGTGCAAGGGGATGCGGATGCTGCCAGAAGCCACGGGGTATAATTCTTTCGGGAGAGCTGCATTATTCTCATTGTACTGCATTCTGCCTTTGCTGTACCAGAGCTCGAGGATTTACAAAGGTCTCCCCACAATATACTTTTCGGGAATTGAAATTGGAAAAAAAACAAACAATTCACTCAGGTGACCACGCAGTAACCAGACTAGAAGTTTTCAGGGACGCGGAATGATGGAGAAAATGCGAATGACACCAGAGACGGTAATTGGACTGGTCGCCCTAGCAGTCTCCGGGTATGGGAGAAGTTAATTATGTATCAAGATCTGATCATTTATTCATACACATTAACAGCTAATGGTATACATGAAGCTGTATGACATTGACTTTTCTATTCATCCATAATGATAGGAGAGTAGTAGAACTGACTGGGGTATAGTGGAATATTTATTTTTGTCTTTTCTTTTATCTCCATCTTTTAGCAGCGTTATAACCCTTTTTTACATTCATTTGTTCTGCGTTATTATCTATAACCCAAGCAACTGATAATGTCATAGATGAAGCTATTAGCCGTCCACGAGATGTCGGGTATAGGTGGTGATCTAAGAATCTCGGTTTTGGGTATTAATATAAGCCGTTGTAAGGAACACTAGGCATTACTACCGTTCTGGCTGCTGATGGTATCTCCACAAGTAAAATTTCGCCAAAAAGGGATGGTAATTTAACTTATATAAAACAATTAAGATTGTATCCCTAAGTCCGCGGTCTAACTATGAAAGCTTTACTAGAAAAAGGGACCGAACACCAGGTGGATGAGATTCTGCCAAGCTGACGGGAAGTTCGAGTTGTATCGTGACCATCGCGGCAGGCGGCAAACGCGTCTATTTCCAAACCATAAGCGCTTAGCTACTCGTGCCCGGCGCTAAACAGGTCCATTTACCACCTTCCATTTCCGAGCTACAGGTGCTTGTATAAGTTCTGGGACGCTCACAAACTGAGGACATCATGAGCCGTGAAGAGAGCCCGAAGCGGCGGAAGATAGACTCCGATAGATTTGCACCGTCGTCACCAAAGAGCTACACCGGCCCTGGCCCTAGACACATTTTCAAGCGACGCGACAGACCCCCGGTGCATGACGATGATGACGGCCAGGAAAGGCCCAGCAGGGGACGAAATGGCGCATCAACTCCCCACCAGCACGCATTCGATGGCCCCGAAGCATTCGTGAACGATGATGACGCTATGGCCCTGGACCGTGACTGGTACATGGGTGATGAATCCGGACACACCTTTGGAGATGAGACGCATAACCCCTTTGGCGCCCCAGAAAGTGCCTGGGCTGATCAGATTCGCGAGGCAGCATTGTCAGAGAAGAAGAATAGTCGCCGCTTCAATGCCCGTGCTGTACAAAAACAAAAGGACGTGGATGCGTGGGAGACAAATCGCATGCTAACCTCGGGCGTTGCCCAGAGGAGGGACTATGATGCTGATTTTGAAGACGACGACGACTCGACAAGAGTACACTTGCTTGTCCATGACCTCCGTCCTCCCTTTTTAGATGGCCGTACAGTCTTTACGAAGCAGCTTGAACCTGTTCCGGCCGTACGAGACCCGCAGAGTGATATGGCTGTTTTTAGCCGTAAAGGGAGTAAAGTTGTACAGGAAAGGAGGCAGCGCAAGGAACGCCAGAAGCAAGCTCAAGATGCAACAAATGCTGCCGGGACGACTTTGGGAAATATTATGGGTGTTAAAGAGGATGAGGGTGACAGTGCAGCCGCAATTCCAGGGGAGGAGGATCAAAAGACGGGCAATAACAGCAAATTTGCGTCGCATTTGAAAAAGTCGGAGGGATCAAGTGCCTTTAGCAGGAGCAAGACCTTGCGGGAACAGAGGGAGTATCTCCCTGCATTTGCCGTTAGAGAGGAACTCCTACGAGTGATAAGGGATAACCAAGTCATTATCGTCGTTGGCCAGACTGGCTCCGGAAAGACTACCCAGTTGACTCAGTTCCTTTATGAGGATGGTTACGGGGAGCTTGGCTTGATAGGTTGTACGCAGCCACGCCGTGTTGCTGCAATGAGTGTCGCCAAACGAGTCAGCGAAGAGATGGAAGTCAAGCTAGGAGGGCTTGTGGGCTATGCTATACGCTTTGAAGATTGTACGAGCAGCGAAACGGTGATCAAATGTAAGTTGGTCCTTCCAGTGGTATAACCGAGCAGGTGGCTAACATTTCTTCTAGATATGACGGATGGCGTTCTCTTACGAGAGTCCTTGGTCCAGCCCGATCTTGACAAATATTCTTGCATTATCATGGACGAGGCTCACGAAAGAGCTTTGAATACCGATGTCTTGATGGGCTTGATCAAGAAAGTTCTTGCAAGAAGAAGGGACCTTAAGCTTATCGTGACATCTGCTACCATGAACTCTGACAGATTTTCGAAATTCTACGGAGGAGCTCCAGAGTTTATAATTCCTGGACGTACCTTTCCTGTTGATATACAATATTCTCGTTCTCCATGCGAAGACTACGTTGATAGTGCTGTCAAACAAGTTTTGGCCATCCATGTTTCCCAGGGACCTGGTGATATCCTAGTTTTCATGACGGGCCAGGAAGATATTGAGGCTACTTGCGAATTGATACACGAGAGGTTGGCTCTTCTAAATGACCCGCCGAAGATTAGTGTATTGCCCATATACAGCCAAATGCCAGCAGATTTACAAGCCAAAATTTTCGACAAGGCTCCTCCAGGCGTCAGGAAAGTCATCGTTGCTACCAATATTGCCGAGACCAGTTTGACGGTCGATGGCATTATGTATGTGGTAGATGCAGGGTTTTCAAAGTTAAAGGTGTACAACCCCCGAATGGGCATGGACACACTCCAAATCACCCCGATTTCGCAGGCCAATGCTTCCCAGCGAGCTGGCCGAGCTGGCCGAACTGGGCCTGGGAAAGCATATCATTTATATACTGAGCTTGCATTCAAGAATGAGTTTTATATACAAACAATCCCGGAAATTCAACGGACAAACCTTGCCAACACGGTACTCCTGCTCAAATCATTAGGAATCAAGGACTTGCTTGATTTCGATTTCATGGACCCTCCCCCTCAAGATACAATCACAACCTCACTATTTGATCTTTGGGCTCTCGGAGCAATTGATAATCTGGGGGATTTAACTGCCATCGGCCGCCGAATGAGTGCATTCCCAATGGACCCGTCACTTGCGAAACTCCTAATTACTTCATCAGAGCTGTATGATTGCAGCGAAGAAATGCTCACAATCGTATCCATGCTCTCTGTGCCCAGCGTGTTTTACCGTCCAAAGGAACGACAAGAGGAGTCCGATGCAGCAAGAGAAAAATTCTTTGTGCCAGAGTCAGACCATCTTACTCTTCTTCACGTCTATACACAGTGGAAAGCAAACGGTTATTCAGATGGGTGGTGTGTGCGCCACTTCCTCCATCCCAAGGCTCTTCGACGAGCCAAGGAGATCCGTGAACAGCTACATGATATAATGAAAATGCAGAAAATGCAATTGACAAGCTGCGGTACGGATTGGGATATCATCCGAAAATGCATTTGTTCCGGCTACTACCATCAGGCTGGCCGGGTCAAGGGTATTGGGGAGTATATTAATTTGCGGACGAGTGTAACTGTGCAGCTACATCCCACCAGCTCCTTATACGGTCTTGGCTTCCTCCCTGACTATGTGGTGTATCATGAATTGATATTAACCAGCAAAGAGTACATGTCTACTGTTACTGCAGTTGATCCTCATGTGAGAATATACCTCCTCTTCCAGCATTTAGAGGCTTAGCTAACATATTTTCTCTTACAGTGGCTTGCCGATCTCGGTGGTGTTTTCTATTCAATTAAAGAAAAAGGCTACTCTGCGCGCGAACGCCGCGTTACAGAGCGTGAGTTCAATAGAAAAATGGAAATAGAAACACAAATGGCTGCAGATCGTCAGAAAGCTGCGGAACTTGCTGCCCGTGAAGCTGAGAAAGAGTCAGCTAAAAAGAGACAAGAAATACAGACTGCAGTGAGAAGACCGACTGCTACGCCAGGGATGAGGAGGGCCACAGGTGGTTTGGTCACAAGTGGTAGTGTGGTCAAGAGGCCGCCATCAAAAAGAGTGGGAAGGGGATTTTGAGTAAAAGCCAGTATCCCCTTTAATATTAAACAACGGGGTAGAGATAGAGCGGCTGTGGAGAACTTCAT